TATGTTACTGTTAATTCATGAAATAACCAGCTATTATACAAAATAACTATACAAACTAGATTAAGTATGAAATAAGGAGTATATATATATATATTTAAATTAAATAATATATTAAATTACGAGAAATAGGTTGGTAAATTATGAAATTGAGATTAGATCAATCTCTAAGGTCAGCTCGTGTTTACACAACAATATTCGTAGAGTTATCCGTTTTTATTTCCTCTTATATTTGAAAACAAATATTTTGCTAATCTAATTGTTCTATTGACTTTAAAAGTATTACGTTTAAAAGTATCAGATTTATAATTCGTAACAATTGATTTCAAAGAAAATTTGTTGAAAAATAGAAAATTTTATCGGTCAGTGCAGTACGTGTATTTAATCAAAAATAAATATAAGAATCTCGTGGAGGAAGTAAATAAAACGTGATAAAATTTCTGATCGAAAAAATTTAACGGAATTTTGTTTAAGTATTATTATTTAATTCAAGCCTCAAGTTGTGTAAAAATTAATTGTTCCTTTAAAAACATCCCTTTAAATTGTAGCGTCAAATCAAACCTTGCACAATGAACAGAATTTCACTCGCTATTAATGTATCCCAAAATGTAAGACAACAAAATTACCTTTGTTTAAAAAAAAAAAAGGGGATTATTGTGCAATTCAAAATATTACGCCAACCAAATGTGTTGTAATAAATGATTTTTCATAGAAAAAACCGAAAAGATGACTAATAATGGAGTCACATATGAAACAATATATAGGAGTGAGGGAGGTAGAAGCGGGGGTGTGGGACGAGTGGAGGCGGAAAGGAGAAAGGGAGAAGTGAGGGAGAGAGTAGTGTTAAGATAGGTTAAGGATATAATTGTAAAAGGAGTGTAACCCTTCGGGGAAGCAGTAAAATGTATCTATCTATCTATCTATGAAACAATACATATAATACCTATAATTATTTCATGTATATATATAATATCTATTTAATTTATAAAACAACTAATCAAAATGTATAATAAAATTCTGTTTATATGCTTTCCCTGAAACGTCTATTCATCTTTTATGATAACTAGTTATTTTATAAAGTAACTAAATTAAATACTTTAACGATAACATGTATATTAATGATGTCCTATCATCGACAATACGAGAGTGGGGATGAAGTGATTCTAAATGAAAAACTAATATAAGTAGAATTTGTATAGTAAAATTTGTTCATATTATCGCTTTGTTTTCGTGAACAATAAAATTGAAAATCGTTCGAGTACGCGAGCATCCGTTATATCACAATTTCTAATTAATAAAAAAAAAAAAAACTTATTAACTAATTTTAATTAAATTTATTTTATATACCCATTATTTATATAATGCTACGCAAAATATATATACGTGATACACTATAAACAAAGAATACCGGCATTTCCTCAATAAAACAAATTTAAAAAGAAATGAGTAAATATACTACCACTGCATTCATAAAAATAAATAAGAAACTTTTACGAGAAAATAGAAGTAAAACAACAACAACAACAAAAACAAAGGAATATATATACTCGACAAACAAGTTTAACGGTTCCAAATCAAATTCATTCGACACAAAGGGATAGTTTACGTTTGAAGTTAAAAACGTCAGATTCTAAGTTTAATGTGCCTAATTAATGAAATAAAAATTATTTAATCAATTGTTTACATTAATATACTATCTATGATTCGAATAAAAGTTTTAAAAGTATAAATAAATTCAATAAAATATAAGAAATAACTTACGATGATTGTTGAATGGATTCAGTCACGAGGCAAAATAGACGACAAAGAAGGAAATGACTCGCTATGGCTTGCTACTAAATAGAAAACCCTTAGCTTTATAATAAATAAGTCAAATAGAAGCAACGAATATAATAATTCTTGCTTAATTTATCGATTATAAATTGATATATATTACATAAATATGAATAATTGAAATTTAAGATGAAAAAACTTGTCACGGAATATAACAAAAGTGAATAAAATTAATAAAATATTTATTTAAAAAAAATGGAAATAGTTTTATTTCTATTCACGTAGTTCTATTTAAATCTGACAACCAATAATATTGCCTGACCTTCGAAACATTAATGTCATTTCTAGGGATTGGTCTATTTTCATTTAAGAACCAACGAAAAGGTAAAAGAAGTAACTAAACACATGGCGCGAACTCTATGGGGATTTGAATAAATTCTAATTTATAATAAGCGAACAGGAAAAGGAAAAAATAAATTCAAAATATAAAATAAAATGTGTTCACTCTTAAATGGTTTTTTTAATTTTCATGAAATATTTAAATATTTAAAATTTAAATAATTTTTCAAATGCACGTTTTCCCATAATTTGTAACATCAATTATTTATATCGGTGTGCTACCTTGCTTTATTTTTACGATATGAATAAATATAAATTTATTTGTCATACATTTTTTCTTTATAAATACATAAATTCAATATTTAATAATTAAAATATTGAAATATTTACACACGACATTTATTCCTTACAACGGTTGATATCTTAATGAAGTAGACACATGTTCAATATCATTTTAATCTCACCAATGAATAAATCAAACATTTTTATTCGTCTTAGTTCAAATATTATATCTATTGATTCGCCTAATAAAACGTGGGTGAGAAAATTGTATTAAACATATATCATATCCATGCCAAATAATACTTCTAGAATATTGTTCTAAATTTAAATTACAGATAATTTAAATTTAACATTTGTACGTTATACAATAATATATTTCGATTAGTCTCTAATGCGACGTAAAAAAAAAACTATATTACAACCAATGCTTTTTTTGGGGGTGTAACGCATTGAAGCAGCATACAACATATTTTTAATGTTTCACAAACACAAATAAGAAATATTGAAAAAATAATCAGAATAAATAAAACAGAAATAAGCAAATGGACAAATATGATGTTTAGATTCGATCGTATTTGAAAAATAAAATATAAATTAAGGTAAATTGTGTTTAATTTTTGATGAGTTCCGTGACATAGAGGAAAAACTGTTTGAAATTGTATTTAAATTTATATTTGAATATAAATTTTCTTTAATACAAAACTTTTGACGAGGGAAATGAGTTCCAATACATTCCCCCTTTTTTTACAAAAAGAAAACAAATATCAATTACACGAAATGGATGTCGAATTTATTGGAAATATTTAAAACTTGATTTAATAATGAAAAAGTGTATACTCTAGTTTTAAATATGAATGTTTGTGATGATTCATTTAATACGTATAAATCTTATTATAACGGATAACAGTGATATTAAATACACGCCAAACTTTGAGACGATTCCAAAACCACTGGGCTTTTCAATGACTTCTTGTGTGTTCGACTCGACAAGGCAGAAAGCGTAAATTCAAATTCTCTAAACCGAGGGAAGTCTTGTTAACGTCTAATCAAAGCTCACGTGTTTGAAAGTACCTGAGAGAAAGAGAGGGTGTGTTCGAAATCTAAAATAGACGTCATTCTTCCGATAAAGTGGAATATACTTGAATTAGACAGGTCAAACGTGCATGTATGTGTCTATATATATAAATTAATGATTAGAAATATATCAGAGGAATTATCATAAAAATATAAATTACATTTTTTTCTTTTATTGTAAACGAAGCATCTATTTCCTGCATTAAAATAATTTCTACAGTTTAATATGAACAAATTGAATTACTTCTTGAAGTATAAAACGATTGTAATTGCTAAAATTGAAATGAATTAAGTAATTAACTACATTTTAGAATAATTATAAATTTGGAAATTTTGTTCATTTTATCATTTAATGTCGCATCAATCATCATTTCTGTTAATTATTAATAAAATTTGTTTTCTTTTATGAACATTTATTTTCACACAAAATAACTTTTTTATTTTTATATTTTTCGATATAATTAAAAGTAAATCTATAAAGGAAATTTATTGTTTTGTTTTTCTTTTTATTTGATTGAGTTGCTGATATTCAATGATATCATCGATTGATGGATAATTTTGATTTTTCGTTTTCAAGCAATATAATTTTATTAACGTCGCACACGACACGCATATTTGCATGTGTGACAATATAAATTAGAGAACGCATAGTTTGAATGCGGAGTTAGAATCGGAGTTAGAATTTACGATGATGGTCCAAACTCTCAGTAGGTTTGCAGTACTCGAACTGAACGAATATCGTCTTATCGTGCTCTCGAAAAATAAATTATTTTACAAGTGATCATTGTTAGTGTAAAAGAAAAAAACGTTTTTAAATCGTCCGATTAAAAATTATTTCGAATTTGTTCTAAACTCAAAGATCACATTCATTTTCATATAAAATACTTTTTTTCGAGTTATTTGTAGATTTAAATAAAAACTTCAAATATATGTGTTAATGTGAGTGTAAATTTCGTTATTACTTTTTATTTAAAACAATGAAAGATACAATTGTTATTACTTTTATGAAAATAATATTAAATTAAATATTAAAGTTATGAACTAGTATGAAACATTAGAATTCAATCAACGAAGTTTCTTCAACATTCAATCGATATATATTCGTGTAATATCTTGAACAAATTAATTATTTTTCAAATGATTGATCTACCGCCTCATTGCAACACATAGATTAAGAACTACATACGTTCTTTCAATTAACTGTCATTCAGTATAACCATCGTGTTAATTAATCCAATTAAGAATTATTCACTCTTGTTACCCTACATTTTCAACTTGTTTTACAAACATAGTCAAACATACAACCAAATTAAAAATGTTAATATATTTTCTTTCTTATAATAATTCAAGCATTCGATTTATAAACGATATCATTGTACCAACAAATTATGACAATAATTAATATAATTACGGAATACGTAAATGCAAATTTAACAAAAATATCTACAAATACTTTATCAATTTTTTATTCTATTTTTTTCATATTTGTTTCAAATATAACTATTTGTTCACAAATCACAAAATGATAACATATAAAAAAACAAAATATTTCTATTAATTAAATTTTAATCTAGAACGTCATTTGTTAAGTCAATTTAATATATTATTTTTCATCGATACATAATACTCGTAGAAAATGACTTTATTGCGAATCGAGTTATTTGGCCGACAAGGTAACAAAACAAACTCAAAACAAGCTGAAACGGAAATAGCAAAGGAAGCTGTTTAACGATTCATGTTTTTGGCAGTGAAGTTGTACTATATAAAAGCCTCGTAGTGCTGCAACTCGCAAGACTATATTGAAGATCAGAAACTAGCACTGCAATTTACACTCGAAAATCGTTGCCAAAGAGAAAGAGAGAGAGAGAGAGAGAGAGAAAGCCGTACGCATTTATACATAATATATAGCATTCCTTTATGTAGAAATATACAGGGTGGGGCAATAACTTTGTCTACCTTTGAATATATCCTTTATTTACAAGCGTATTAAAAAAAAACTTTAAAAAGAAAAATTTGCACTATTGCAGAAAAGAATTTTAACTATTGAAAAAATTTTCTTTCAATGTCATATTTTTGCCAGATTTCAAGATTATCATCGTTGATTTATTAAATGTGAAATTATGCAATTTTGTTACGCGATATTCTTGTAGAATTTGACATATAACACAAAGATGTCATTTTTGTTTTCATATCCTTGAAGAACACATTGATTTATCGTCTATTGATAAGCTTTATGCTATCATCATAGTTGCATATAAAAATATAATTTTCGTATCACTGAAAAATATAGACGTTCTTACTGACAGTTAATATACTCTATCGCCCAGCGACATTGACACAAATGTGATTACAATGTTGAATATCTTTTGTATTGTAAAAAAGTATATTTTACTACTATATATAATATTTACTTTTTTGAATGAAATTTCACTAATAACTTTCTGATACCGTATTGACGACTACAGTCGCAAAATGATAAAAAGTATGAGTAATCTACATTTAAATAAAATGAAGATAATGTTGAAAAATTATTCCTACGTTTTTACCTCTACGCAAAAGAAATGGGCATCAAAATATATCCTCCCCCCCCCCTCATCTCTATACGATGCAAGTTTTGTATCGAATCTATTTTTCTTGTATATTATATTAATACTAATAACACATAGATATTCAAAATGGACAGAGTTATTGCCCCACCCTGTATATGCGTGTTTCTCTCTAACAGGTCGCGTGTAACATCGTGTGTTACGTGGCAAAGTTGCACTGAGCTTGATTAGATGTACTTGGACACGCGATACCAACGAGATACTTGCACGATCTGCGAATTGATCAAATTTGCATTCACGTGGTCGTTCAAATTCAAAAATGGGCTTCCACCACTCGACAATATTTGTTAAATATAGTCTCATGTTGACGAAATGAATTCATTTCGTTTACATCTAATGTAACTGATCCGGTTTTATATATTAAAACAAATATCAAATTTGAATATTAGATGTTTATACGAATTATTATTAAGCTTTTTGTTAGCTAATGTAAAATTAGAATTTAATTTGTATATATAAATTTAATAATAATTATATATTTTATATAATTATATATTATATTATATATATTTAATATAATTAATAATAATTTGTGTATGTGTTTAATTTATGTTCTATCTTGTATAAGGTGTAGATATTAATTCGGTGCCTTTATAAAATAAATTAAATATTCATTTATATGACACAAAATTAATTTTTACACTTATTGTTACAATTATACATTTTCTTTTTTTTTTCTTTTTTGTTTTGGTTATATAGATCAATTGAAATATGGAGCTTATGGTACCGACAGTTTCAGATGTCATTTTTAAATACACCTGGTCCATAGCTAATTATAAGAAAACAATATCGAAAAGCAGTTCGATCGACAGTCCACATTTCGAATTGAATGTTAATGGTATTCACAGTTCTTGGAATTTATCAATAAGATTTTGGAAAGGACCTGAGGGTGAGAGATTAGAATAATATTAAAAGATAATCCGTTTACGTATACTTTAGAAAATATGTATATTTAGTAAGTTATATATATATAATAACTGTTAAAAATGCAGACCTATGTTTCCCGGCTAATAGGCAAGAGAATCACAAACCCAGTAGTTTTGTGTTTGAATATTTTGAATTGCATCGTTGAAGAAGTTGAGCAAGCTAAAATTCGTTTTCAATTTGGTGTGTTTAATGCCGATGTCAAACACTGGGAATATTGTCACGTTAGTAGAACGGTATTGGAATTAAAATCAAACAATGAGATTATTTCACTTGGATACAGAGATTTGTCCATTGTCGACAGACACCTGAAGAAAAATGGTGAAGTCGATTTAATGGTCAAAATACAAATTATACAATGTGAAAGTGAAAAACATAATTTATCTCAGGTATCGTAGAAAATTGTTTATCTTAAATTGTATCCAATTATTTTACCAATCTTTTTCATTTGTTAATATTTTTTTAGGATATGGCCAAATTGTTAAAACATCCACGTACGGCAGATACCAAATTAATTTGTGGCGGATTGTCTGGTACAGTAATACCAGTACACAGCAGCATAATTATTGCTCGTAGCAACGTTCTAGCTGAAATGTTATCCCCTATATCTGATTCTTCAATAAATAACGAGTTACAATCAAAAAGAGATGAAGACAAAAATGAATACATGGAAGTACGCTTTCGACGCTACTCAATACCAATCACTAAAAATCTTTAATCATCGAAATGCAAACGAAAATGCTGCAATTATCTTACATTAGCTTATCATTTACACGTTTATTTAAATTTTTCTTTTTGATATTAATTTGATTTATATATACAATATTATTTTAATGAAAAATATATTATTGTATTTGTATTCTTGCTTATTTAATCCCGCATGCTAAATATTATTTGCAATAATCTGTATTAAAAAAAAATGTATTTTACTGTAAATGTGTGATTTTCATTTGTTCTGTATTACTTTGGACTTGTTTAATTGTTACGTTGATATAATTGAATATAATTCTCTAACACAGGTGAGTAATTAACCAAATTAATTGTAATAATGAACAAATTTATTATTTTTAAAATTGCGCTTAATTTAAATGTATAATATAATCTTATTTTTCATTTTTACCAGGTCCAATACTTGTTCTCATTGGAATTGTTAGACATCTGCAAGGAAACGATGGATGAACTTTTACGATATATTTACAGTGATCACGTCGATAATTTGGATAATCTAGCACCGCAATTATTATTTTTAGCAAAACGTTTCTGTTTACAAGGTAACTAAGATAACGACAAATTAATATTTACAGAAGATAAAGTTTTAATTTAAAATCATATCTTTTTCAGGTTTGAAAGAACTTTGCGAGAGAAATTTAATCGAAACTATAACACCTGATAACGTTGCTAGTAGACTTTTAATAGCAGACGAATTTAGTTGTGAATCATTGAAAAGAGCAAGCTTAGCTTATTGTGAAGAAAATATAACAGTACTTAATAAAAGTTTAGCTTGGAAGATGATGGAACAAGTGAATCCTGAATTATTTAATGAAGTTTGCGAAGCTGGAATGGGAAGTTCTAGATCTAGTAATATAGATGATAGTGAATTAAGTAATTAAAATTGAATATGATGATCTATTTCAATGATTAACTTTAGTGAAAATTCATGTGATTATTGTATATTATATTTTAAGATTACTTCATTCGTTTATTTTAATTTTCATCGATCATTTAAAAAATACAATATTTCAAATTTTTCTATATAATATTTCATTTTATTCATACAACAAAATTTGAAATATTTACATATTACATATGCATATTATATAAGAAAGAATGATATATAAGATGAATTTATTTTTATATTTAAATAAATATAAAATAAAAAACTATTTATATTGATCTCTTAAAAATCAATGTTGTAAAAATCGCGTAGTTTTATATCATTAAAATTTTACATAGAAGTAAAATTTTTATTTATTAAAATATTTTAACTAAAATATGTACACCTATGGTCAGTTACAATAACATATACGTTAGGATATGTATATGCATTACTGCACATAGAATAATAATATAAAAGAAAATATATATAATTTATTTATATATTTATCTTTTCTTTTTCAAAAACATTTTACTAGTAATAAATCTAGCAAAAAAGAAAAAATACTCCTAATTAAAATTACGTGATTCATTCTTTCTATTAAGAATGGCCTCGATACAAAAAAAAATCATATTTGAAATTCTAATAAGATTCAAATTTCATTGTTTTAAATAAATAAGTAATAGTAGGTCATGAACTGAAAAATAAAAATGATTTGGCTATCGATCAAAGTAACCGCAGTGTCCTGTTATGATCAAAAAATAGTCAAAACAAAATCGTATGTGTGTGTGTGCGTGTCCATAAAATGTCATCATTAATTAAAATGTAGTTATAACACATATACATATCCGTTTATATCCGTTAGCTTTCACTTTATTATATACTTTATAAACAATAAAAATAAACAAGTAAAATTATCTATAATGTTATCTTTTTTAAATGTTTGCGATTGCGCGTAAATAATCTAATCTGCTGGGTTATATAACACGTTAGAATGGAGTAACACATGTCAGTCACTGCGTAATCTTACTTGGAACAACTTATTGTTAATTCTACACACGTACAATATCAAGAATGGATAGACCACGCGTATTTGTTACAAGAAGCGATGCACCTGATTCTGCAATCGAACTTTTGAGAACTAAGTAAATCAATTTGTCTTATTATAATTACATTTTTTAATATGATTTATTCAAACTTATTATTATTATTATATTACTAGTTGTAAATAAAAAAATGTTTGCATTGCAATAAAATTATTTGATACGATTCATTGAAATCTGATCTATAATATTTATTTTATGATTTTGTTATTATTATTATTAATTATCATATTACTAAATTAACGAATATTATTATTGCAATTAAATATTTTAATACGATATGTTGAAATTTAATCTACTATTTTTCTTTTTAATAATTATTATTATTAAAATATTATCAAATGTAGATGTGACGTTACGATTCTTCAAGGTGATACAAGTACAAGTGAAGAAGTTCTACAAGCTCTTCCTGGACATGATGCTGTTTTGATCGTCGGCCACCTAAACGTAAATTCCGAATTTTTGAATACCGCAGGTAAACGCGAATAATATTTATTATTGCATAATAAATATAAAACGTAATATAAAACGTATTTAAACGTAAAATTGTAATAAATTAACTATTATTAAAGACAATCTTTGGTACTGGTTCGTACTGTTGATAATATTTGAAAGTTTACTTAAATGTATACTTAAGAAAAAAAAAAAGAAACAGAGATAGAAAAAAAAGATTAAAAAAAGACATTATATCTTGAAATAATCTTGAAATCTCGAATTATATATAATTGCTTTTACTGATCAATATATCTTTAGCCTTGGAAAGAGAATTGATCGGTATTGTATAATAATTTACTTAGAAATCGTTTATCCTTGTGATCATTGAATTACCGTCATGTAAAATTTATATATTCTTCCAAGTATTATCTAGATTCTAGAATATATTTCCTATTATTTATTTATCATTACTGTAAGAGTCATCTGACTGTTATGCGCGTGCTAACTATAATAATTTTAAAAATTATTTTAATTTGATTAAAGATCACATTTGTTTAATATTTTTAAACGTTTGATTTTTATTATTTCAATGTATTTATCGTATTCTTTCAAATTGTTTTCTCGTATAGGACCAAATTTAAAAGTTGTTTCTACTCTTTCGGCTGGTTATGATCATTTGGACGTTCCAGAGATTAAACGACGTGGTATCAAGGTCGGTCATACACCTAATGTTTTGTCTGCTGCAGTTGCAGAAATAGCTATTCTTTTAACTTTATCTGCTGCTCGACGAAGTCATGAAGGACGTTTAAAAATAGACGAGTAATGTCCTATTCCATATATTTAATCAAATATAAAATAATAATAATAATAATAATAATAATTAAGAGAAAAATATTTATATATTGTCAACAGAAAGCAAATCTTAATGGATCAGAAGAAACATTACATATTTTCTTTTAATATTATTATTATTATTTTTTTTTTTAAATCTAATGTGTGTTTATATTTGCAACAACCTAATACTTAATAAATATGAATGAATAATCATTAATCATTTAAATACTGTAATTTATTATTTTATTTTAGAGGAAAAGTGCTTAAAAGTTATAATTGGTTACTTGGACAGGAATTACGTAACTCCACTGTTGGAATAGTTGGATTAGGAAATATTGGCCAAGCTATACTTAAGCGTTTACTATCATTTGAAGTAAATACTTTTCTTTACACTGGTCATTCAGAAAAAAAAGCTGGTATGTATTTCTAAAAAACAAAATAAAGACATTTATAATTAGTTTCAGTACAAATAATAGATTTATTTATTAAATTTATTTTTTTGTTCTCCTTACAATTTGCCCAATATTAGGAAAGGATTTAGGTGCCAAGTTTGTATCTTTAGACGAACTTCTAGCACAAAGTGATTTCGTTATTGCTGTTACTCCGTTGACTAATGAAACCCGAGGCTTATTTAATGACACTACTTTTGGTAAAATGAAGAGAACTGCTGTCTTCGTTAATGTAGGACGTGGACAAGTTGTAGACACGGATGCTTTGGTAAGAGCTTTGAAAAATCATACGATTTTTGCTGCTGGTTTAGATGTTACCGATCCTGAACCATTGCCGGTAGATCACGAATTACTTAAACTTCCCAATATTGGTGAGTATTATATAATTTACACAGAGTAAGATAAAAATAGCTTTCCCTAGAAAACAGGATCTATCATTAACAAACTATAAAAGCGAAGAACACGTACTGTTAGAATTAAAGAAAATCTATCTTGTTACTTAGAGTTATGTTCAGAATCTACGAAAATCTAGTTGAAAAATATCTCTTGAGTTGAGAATCAGTCATTTTTCTTTACCGAATGGGGAAAGCAACTTTGATCTCACCTTATATACAAAAATTGAATATTAATAATCACAAACATATTTATTTCACTATAATGTGTTTTCAGTACTTCTACCACACTTAGGTAGTGCCACTGTAAAAACTCGCAATGATATGGGTATAGTCGCTGCTCAAAATATTCTCAATGGATTATCTGGCAAACCTTTGGTTTACGAATTATAAGTATTAATAGATTTTTCAGTCAGTCGTAAAGAATGGATAAAGTTACTTAAAAAAACATTTAATTCGATGATTTAGAATTATTAATATTATATACGACTTAATATCTATATATATTTGATTTATTTACATTTTTCTTCAATATGTATTTATACCATTATCAATAAACTAATATAATTTAAGCAAATATAATCGCATACTTTATAATGAATTATTTTATAAAATATGTTATTATAAATACATGATTATATTATTACAATATGATTCGATAAAAATATGCATAAGTTGATATCGTGAATTATCTATATATCTATATATATACTTCCTTATTCAATAATCTCATAAAAAATAATACAATGAATACATTCTTATAAAAAGAGAAAGAGAAAGAGAAAGAGAAAGAGAAAGAGAAAGAGAGACAGAGTAAACAATAATTAATGAAACTATATTTATAAACAAATATAGAATAAATTTTTTTTCAATTATAGTTGGTACTGTACATAACAATGCCTAATAACATATTAATTATTCTTCGAGATACACGCAATGAGTGCAATTCGAAGAATATTTATTATTTATCACCCGTAATGGACTACAGGTAACCATCAGGCTTCTACCACTGCATTTTTTAAGTTACTCAAAATAGGTTCTATTTTATTCTCTAAGGATAAAATATGACCTGTATTGCAATTATGACTAGCGATAAAGCTAATAACCAATGGTAATTTATTCAGCTGCACAACCTAATGAAAATATACACATGAAATAAAACATACATACTATATACGTATGTGTAATATTTTATGGAATAATTGTATTGAAATACCTGATAACTGCTGTACATACAAATAACAATTTTATTTTTTCCAAGTCCTAATTTACTAGCTTGATCCGTAGCCATTCCAAATGTGGAAAGAAAACTTGCCCTCATAGCAAGCTCTGGTGCTTTTTCATCTGCTACAGATACTACCGGTACACCATCTCGATCAGTGATTAATATACTATGTAGGCCTTCTATGCTATTTAAAAGACCATTTAAATACTTTTTATGTTCCTGAAATTTATTTTTAAAATTAAAAACATAATTTTCAGATATTTCATACATATATTTTTAAACATGCAATAACATAACCTGAATAGATCGATTAGATCGTAAGCTTCTCTTTCATTCTTGAGAAATTAATATAAAAGATAATATTTAAACTTACTGCTGTCATTTTTTATTCCTCTTGTTTCTTGTTCACAATTTACTAATTAATAAACTTAAAATAACAATATCTATTTATTGCAATAACGTTAACATTTTATCAGCTGTGGCTTATTTTACGCGCGTACAAAGTAAATTGATATTTTCTTTGTATCAATATTGGGAGGTTTCAGTTATGTCTCTTTTCGTTAACAGGTGTCGTTTAAGTATTCCTCTTTTGTGGCGGTAAGATTTGAAACGTAACAAGTTAAACAAAATAATCAACATTTATCAATGTTCATTTATTTTTAAAAATATGGTAACATTATGCATCGCCAATTAAATCTAATGACACATAAAAAAAAGTATACGTTTTTGTGCAAATACTTTTATCGTTAAATATATATGTTAAATAAAAATATTTCAAAAAAAAATATATTATATATTATATGTGTACTTGTGATACTTCAAAATTAATCACATTATTCTGATCTCGATACAATATACTTCTTAACACATTGCGTTCGGCACTTTGATCGTTCAACGCGTTTCCAAGGCTCGCATATTTTTGCGCACTACAAAAAATCTTTGTACAATGCATAAATATACTTTTTTAATATTCATTCTTTTTCTTTGTTTAATAACTTAACTTTATTAAAGAACGTTATTATTGTCAGTAACATAATCTCATTTTCATTTGAACTGTTATTTGGTGTATTCGATAAATCATCAAACAACAATTCATTTTAACTTTTATTTTCTTTATTTCTATGGGACATTTTGCTAGTTTTTTAGAATTAGGGTCTATTAAATAAAATAATTAAAAACTGTAATCTCACACATTAATACGAGGACTTTTAAATAACAATCTATAGTACATCAATGAAACATTTTATAAAGTATGATAGCTACTTGTATAATAGCAATACTAACTGATTATTTTCTACTATTTCCGAATTTTGATATATATTTATTTCGCTAATAATTAGTTATAAGAATATTCAAGGCTTCGTTACCTTGGTAACGTAAAAGAAACATTCATTTAATTTTAATTCCTTGAGTAGTCAACGCACGTGTATAAAAAAAACATTAAAACAAGATGTCTTGTGACCCGTACGCAATGTGTTAATCTAATTTATCATCGCAATTAGTTACTATGATGCTTAATTAAGGAATTAAGTTAATAACATTTGTGACTAAGTTTCTTTAATGTTTAATCGCGAATCTTGATCATTATTGCAACCACCGTACATAAACATTTTTGGAATATCTTGTCCATAATACACTTTTGTATTGTGGGTTAAAGCTTCATACTTCTTTAATTCTAAAAATTCTTTAGATAGAAGTAATTTGTTAGCTTCCGCTTGCAATTTCAATTGATAAAACTCCGCATCGGAACGACTCTTTTGTCTAGAGACGTGCATTTCATCCTCAATAGCTGCAATTTGTAGAAGCGACTGCTTTTCCATAATTTTTTGATTGTATTGTATCTTTGCAACTTGTGCTTCCTTTTCAGCTTCTATTACAGCCTTTTTTCTATCCGTTTCAGCATCCTTTTCGACAACTTTTTGATGTTGCGTAGATATCAATAGTTTTGTTTTTTCTGCTTCCCTAAATTTAAAAATACGTATCATTGTATTGGATTCCACTTATCATTTAGATCTTTTATAAAATAAAGTACTTACATTAATTCATAATTTTTCCTGATTGTCTCAGGAATTTTTGGTTTGGTAACTCTTACTGCTTGAATGTTAAGCCCTGGTGCTAAATCATTGAGATCTTTTTGCAAGGCAGTTTTTAAATTTTCATCTATTTGATCAAATAGATCAATATATACTTCATGTAAAGTATGTACCGAACAAAATTGATTCAATTCATGATGTACTTTGTTAAAAATCAAAGTACGATCATAATCAGCAGTAAAATTTCTGACCATAGTGTAAACTGTAACAAGAAAATGAAATAAATACATAAACAAATTGTTTTTAAAATGATTTAAGTTTTACTAGTATTATATGTATAGATGCTTACCGCTGTTTGCATCTAAAATATTTACAACCTCTATGCGATCAAAATAGATCATTACACCGCCACTGGTACCACAAGGTACATTTTTAACTTCATCCGTTTGTAATGTAACTTGAATAGACCGATACGTCGTTAATACAGGTATCATCATGTGATATCCAGGATTACTAACATATGGCAATAAAGCACCACCCTAAAGCAAATCAATTAAATGAGTTAATTCATTTCTCAATATTAATAGAGATGCAAAATTTAATATAAGATACAACTTACTCTAAAATAAACACCAACATGTCCTTCCTCGATCCGATGTAGAGAAAAATTTAAAATTATTGCTAAACAAGCAAGGAGACATATCTGAATGTATGTAAGCATAATGCTAGATTAATAATGACCTATAATATATTAAAATTATTATTCAAAGTTAAGAAAGAAAATCTTATAAGGTTTCACAATTTAGAAACAAAATATAAATAGAATATAATAGAAGTAATATCTATAATAAGAATATAATAGAAGCAAAATTTAATACTTACGCTAAAGTATTTATGTGTTTTGAATAGACGAAAAAAACATGTTATTTGGTAGACTAAAAATAACAACCTTTTCTATTTATTTGCTTGTTTTGTATTTTATTTATGCTCGCAAAATTAGAATACTTGTCATAAGATGAGGTTATGTCTACAATTTTTATTATACAAAATGACTAATATATATTTCTTAAGTATCACATAATATGCTTCAATGAATATATATATATTATTATCGAACAATAGAGATTGTACTATTACTTTAATGTCATAAATTTTCCTAAATTCATATTCCCAAAATGCACTATTTTGACCTCAACCGCCTGCCATGGCGCTTCATACTTCCGGTATTTATTATTTATTAATTATTAAATTTTACGATTAATTTAATAATATATATATAATCATTTAAAAAAATAAAATATTTATATAAATTAATGCCAAAATAAAAATATAATATTATATATATTTCATAATTATATCAATTTCAGTTAATATCTACAGGCATTTGTTTGGAAAATCCAAACGTATCGATTATAAGTTGAAGTACTATCGATACGATTATACCACCTAATTTTTGAAATCACTTTAAAAAGAAATAGTACGAATTTATAATTAAATAATTAATTATTACTCTTATATAAACAATTAAATTTGTTTTGCGAGAATAGAATAACAGAGCATAATATTTTTATTAACAACTCAACAATCGATATAAATATATTACGATTGAACAATTATTTTCAATCAAAATTTCCATCAATTATTTCTTTTTTACTTTACGTAAACGTGAATTAGATTTTTCCTGTGATTGTTGTAGCATTTCAGCATCGGCTATATTTTGATTGAGCATTTTTAATTCTTGTAGAGCACGTTTGGCTAATTGTCCTTCGGGTGTATTAACGGGTTCCAAAAGAAGCATTGACAAAGCTTTTCTGAGAAGTATTCCAGCTTCTTGAAGCTGAGAAGACATTTCCATGGGGGAAATTTCGTGCGCTGCGTAAGCACGATTAGCCAATAATACCAAAGGCAAGTGCATTTCGTATAACATTATACCTGAAAACTCATGCTTTACGAAAAAACTCAGGCACCTTCATTTTTTATGAATGCTTCCAAACACTTTTTAAAGAAGGCCTTTAAACTATGGTATATCTATCTGATATATTATTTATATATTTTATATATTTATAAAATATATATTATTGTTATATTATATCATTTATCAATATATATATTCATATATATATTTTGTCTAATTTCTAACTACCAACCATATAAGCATATAAAAATAAGGCAAAAAATTCTAAACTATCTATAAGCAGGTTCTAATTTTAATTTAAGCGTGAGAAAGCTTTTCCCAATGACTAAATTAACTAAATATAAGCATCGATTGTACCTTTACCAATCGATTACTACATAATTACTTACCTTTCAATCGAGAAATTCCAGGTTCTACCAATTCCAATACTTCAAGAATTTCCTTACATAAATTTAGCATTTTCTGAATAATTTTTTTTTTAGGATTCGATAACGCTACTTGTTTTCTATAGATTGTTAATAATTTTTGTTTCAATGCCAATAGAAGATAATGATTAGGATGAAAAGATCGCGTAAGTTTTTTAATTAACGATTCCAATTCCTGCGATTAAAAAATCAAATAATAAAAGGAAACTTGAATAGTACAAATTTTGTAATCGAATTTACATGAACACGTTCATATAAAAATCAATACCAACTTTGACATCGGATTTATTGCATTCATGGATAAGTGTTCGAGTTATGTTCAAAGTTGCTCTAATGAGATAACCACCGTATGTTTTTCTGCATCTATTACATCGCCATTTACAGTCACGTTCGTAAGGTTTAGTTTTTAAAGGATTTTCTGCTCCAATGTATCCGTCTTTGCAACGTGGACATCGAATGCTACTTAAATAAGAACCTAATTCATACGGATCTTTACAAAGTGTACATTCACATTCGAAATATTTCCCTTCTCTGAGATGTTCTCTTCTTTCAGCTGAACCCTAAATAAATAAATAAAAAAGAAAAGCAAATAATATTCAATAACTATATCTTAATGTTTGATCTAACTGTTTATAAAACAAACAAACCAAAAGTGATGAAGTATAATTGAAATAAATGACGTCATTTTCTTTGATTGGTAAACTGGCATAAACGGTGAGTTGGAAATTATCATCAACAGTTATGTGAGTATTAGCTCTACAATCATGAGCGATAAGAGAGGCTTCCAAGTACAAACCACGTAGAACTAAAGCATCCAATCTACCAGGTGATCGTAATTCAAAAGTATTCACATCGAGAATACCACAAAGCCGTTGTAAAAAATCCGACGTCGTAGTTGTATCGTCGTCATTGGTCACCAGTTGAAGATCACGAAATATCTAATTGTAAGCGTAATTGTACTTGTAATGATATTTTTTTTTTGTTTACAAGGTGTCAATCCATAGTTCTTTCTTTCTTGTTTTTTAATTTACTTTGATTACGTTAAGTTCTCTATCCTTCCAAATGGGAGTGCCTCTTCTTTGATCCATGTGTGATTCCATACGACTCACTTTTTCCCATAGATCTGGATCTCGATCTTTTAAGAGAAATAATCTCAAAGTTAA